TTAGTTTGAAAAAATTTACTATCAATGAGAAGGAAACCTTAGAACGGACTGTGAACGATTCAAAAGCAGAAGAATCTAATCTTAAATCAACAAACGAAAATGCGTGTCACTCGAAACAAATACAAAACGATGTAAATGTTAATTCTGAAATCAGTTCCTGTGCGATAAATCTAACCGACCGAATATCTATAAATGTCGATCAAACGTCTGCAACTGCCGATAGCAATCTAGACCATAATGTCGTATCTTAAGTCTCTACCCGACAGATAATTGTTTCAATTTAATTATTTTAATCTTGGCATTATCTTACCTGAAAGAGATTATACGTGACGTTCACACAATAAACGCCATGATTTTTAAGCCATTTCCATTTGATAAACAAAATTAATAGATAAAAATTTATCAGTGCTTTCATAACTACAATCTCAAGTATTTGAAGTCATGTTAGTGTATTAAGAAATTAAAAGCACCGTAATTTTTTTTGAGAAAAGAAATCGTACTTTCTCTTTTTTTTTTGTAATATCGCAATAATCACTTTGTTGGAAAAGAATGTTTATTTCAAAATTGTTACTAAATTTAGACTCAAAAAATTGCAAAATTCAAGTTGCATTCTACTTTTGCAGCTTTCTTTTTTTGTAATTTGAAGTTTATTTTCTATTACACTAGAAAAGGAAAATGTAAAATTAAAAAAAAATTATTTGATAGTAAAAAAATTATTGATTGAGTGATATATGTAAGGATATTTAACGAGAAGACTGTAAAATAGTATTAAGTTTCTATGGTGACATATAACATAACTTGTTGCAATAAATAGTTTCATAATAATATAGACATTCGGATAACACGTGTGCTATAGTTATTAGAGAAGCATAATATTGACTTTATTAATTGCACAAGAATTTATTTCTTTAGCGTGAATATTCTTCGAATGAACAAAACAATAATTAATCGATCAATTATTATACTTATTATATTTGTCAATGTAAGCCACTTTAGGGATCATACAATACTCGATTTCTTGAATGATAAGCATGCTAAAATATGTTCATGCATTGAGTGCGGTCGCTGATATGCATGATTTCTATGCTTATTATGCATATATATCACGATCTACAGCTGTGTCCTTGTTGGATCAATGTCAAAGCTGTGATCAATCAAAAAATTAAAAATGGATTTACGTATAGCTTATCTTTAAAAACAATTGTGCTAATTTCGTTAAGCATGAGTATGCATGCATGCTATATATTATTCAAGAAATCGCATATCATATTTTTCAACTTTACTTTCTATCAATAATCAAACACGACATCTTTATGAACAATAACAATTGAACAATCTACGACAATATTAAAATTATAATTGCTAATTATTTACTATATTTATTTTTAAATAAATGTAAAAATTGTCATTATAAATATATATCAGATACTTATGTATAACGTAAATTTTTATATTAATTAAAGAAAATTTATTAAAATTTTTTGCAAAGAAGAAATTAGCATAATTAATAAACTGTTTGACTTTAACAAAAACTTAATTCTTTTAAACGAGAAAACAAAATTAAAGATAACAATATAATGATAACGTGTCATTGACTGCAGTTCCTAGCGATTAATATCGGAAACCTGTTGCTGCCGATAGCAACACAGTCCACAACATTCTATCTTAAACTTTTTAGGGTCGTTGCTCAAACAGATATTATTTAATCTATTGTTAGCCACGCTAGTATGTGAATTATACGCTGTTTACAAAGAAAATATTAATTACAAATTTTTTAATTAGGAACAAAAAGTTTAAAAATGCTTATCTATATCTATTTAAAAAATATTTTAAGGTTTTTTGTTAAATTAAAAATTTACTATAAGTCTAAATTTTTAATAATTAAAAAAGCTTGAAATAATTAAAAGTAGTTATTTATTTTAGCTTTTTTCGATTTCTTATATTTTTTATTTTTAAATATCAATTTTTTTTTATCATTTAGAAATTTCAATTTAAGTGGATGCTAAATAAATTTTGCATAAAAAGATCTTATTACAATAATAGCAACGATCTTATTTGAGACAATATCAAATTGCACAAAGAAATGTATGAAAAGTTAAATGATTATTTATAAAATGAATATAATAACGGAAATTGCGGTTCGGATATAGCTCACACTCTTATTATCATGTCCAAAGAAATTATTATACACTCTGATGAGATATGAAACATAGAAACAAATATTTGCAATAAGGAAGTTACCGTATAAATACTGCTACATCAGATATAAATATTATTATTCATTTGATTCATATTTAAATTTAATTATCTTTTATTCATTAGTTTTATTATTATTACTATTCCTTGTCAACTCAATATTCTTCGTTATAATATGCTTATTTTATTTACTTTGCAATTATAATAACTTATGCATTAAATTTTAACCAATATAGTATAAAATTTAATTCAATTATTCAATTTTAATAATATTTTAATTTCATAACTCATTGACAGATACTATAAAGCCATTATTATATAAATTTATAAACTTTAAATAACATTTACCTACAATCTTTAATAATGATCTTTAATAATATTTAATTATATTTTCAAAGTTTACTTATTTTAATAATTTAGCAAATAATATATAAAAGAGTATTATAATAAATAATCCTTATAATAAAATAAAAAAACTGTATATAAAATTATATATAATTTTATTGCTTCTTTTACTATATAATAGTTAAAAGAAAGTTACAGAATGTTATCAAAAAAATTACTCTGAAGAAACAAAGACGTGTTAATTATGTTGATTCTTCCTGCTAACTCATTTAATAATCGCCAGTTTTCACAATTAGCTCATGCTAATATAAAGGTTTCAATAACATAGAGTCGCGTTAAAAGAGGGACAGCATACAAAATGTTAACGCAAATAATCAGTGTAAATAATTGTTATAAAGTAAAATTGTCAGCTCTCCAAATATAAAAAAGTGACACTATTTATAAATTTGTTAAAAATTGCCGTTTAGCAGCAAGTATTTCACGCCCGAAATAACAAACTGTTTTAATTTCGTGAGTATATAATCACAATATGATAAAAAATCTACGTCTCTATTTATATCATTTCCTAAGCTTCTAAAAAAGAAATCTTTAATAAATTGCAATATACGGGCGTGTGTGTAGTGTATACGTATGTAAATGAATTCGTTCGATGAGAATTATACTAGTTTACAACAAAAATTATTTTCAATCAGATTAGGTGTTTCTTATAAATTTTTGAACATTAAATTAAACACGCACGCCAAAAAAATTTAGCATGTTAGATTCCAAAGATGATTGGAATTTAATGTGTAAAATATAGCTTTTCCGATAATATTTGATATTTTTTGTAAAGAAGATTAATGTTAGCTTGAAATTGCAATTAGAAATTATAAATAAAAACAAATGATTATTTATTTTCTATAAAATGATCTCATATTTAGAAATTTCATTATTTTATTTTTTAGCTATATTATTAAGGATTTATAAATTCAGGATTTTTCTATAATAACTTCAAGCCTATATATCATATACATTTCCAGTTTGTGATTATCATACACATACATAAATCATATAATTTTTGTCTAAAACATTTTTATTGAAAATACATTTTTTTCGAGGTATTCGAGGTAAACAATTAAAATTAAAATGAGATACCCTGTATATATACATGTAGGGTGTCCCAGATTAATCGCGCCACCTACTTAAAAACTAGGGAAGCAGTTTTTATCAAAAATTCTAAAAATTTTTATAAATAATGACACACTCTATCGAATCATGATACTTTCAACTTACGGTTTCAAAGAAACCGAAATCAGACTAAAAATCGATATTTTAATGAAATAAGGTATTTTATATTGCAGATTCGTATTTTATGCGAAAAAAACATAAAACTTACTTTTGTACCAAGCATTTTGATAAATGTTAATCTTCAAATGACGTTTAAAATTTTGATTTAAATTTAAACTTTCGGCTTGAATAACCTATTTCCATTCGAAATCAGAAAGTTAAAAACATTACTATTTGATAAATTTTTGCATAATAAAACATCAATATTACATAAAAACTTTTCAATATCAATATTTTAAATTAGATTTAATATTTAAAGTTGTAAAGTTTTAACTCAAGTTTTATTTCAAATCTATTTTACTGGCAAGAATTGTAACAGCAGTTCTGCTTTGCCATTTGCGTGTACTATATCAACTTTATTTATTTACTCTCCTATTCAACACTATAACTCTATGTGATGCATGGCGATAAAGATAAAAATTTTAATTATATAATGTAAAAGTTACGTTAAAAAAGTAATAATTTATATTTTCAAATTAGATATCTCGAAAATATTATCTTTTTATTTATTTATTTATCTTGATATTTAAAAGTTAAGCAAATTTATAAAAACATCCAAATTGTATAAACAGAAATACAAATTCACAGAAATACAAGTAATTTTCAAATAAACTTTAGTATTTTTGAATACGCATATTAATTTGAAGTTGATAATTAACATATATTTCATGAAAACATGAAGTATAAAAATATATATGTAAGACACAGAGTACAAAATTTTACTTGATTCTATTCAAGAACTTTTCTCTCTTAAAAAGTTTCGTAGACAATCCATATCATTCTATCATGTCGTCCTATCTAATTTCTTGATACGATATAGGAGAGTTCTTTTCAGAATTGGAGCAATAGTTTCACATGCCAATCTACAGTGTAGTTTATGTATATATTTATATACACACGATTGCCGGCCGGTGCGATTAACGGTCTAAGAATCAGTTCAATGTAAATGTCTCTCGTAAGAGGCGAATGATGTCGAGAGATGACGTTGTTTCTTGTAACTACTCGAACGGGAAACCTGCCGGGTGGGGCCTGTTGAGTCGTGCCTGTGACGAGCTTCAGTATGAAAGTCTCCGGAGTAGAGAGTGACTGGGTCCGCGAGGAGAGATTCCGGGACCTGTTCTTTGAGACGTAACGCGTCCAATCTGTTCGTGTTGCATCAGTGTGCAAAATTCAGTTACTGTATCGATGTACAAAGATGTGAGAAACCAATAAAATGTGCGAGAAATAAAAATGTTACCGTACCGCGCACGACTCCGTGTTCAGACGCTTATCGTCTTAGCGCTCTGCCAAGGTAATTAATACGACACACCTGATGCACATTATTCGTGTGCAAGGAGATCCTTCACTGAAACGTAACGTGGTCACGTGGTCACGATGCCATTGAGTCACATTTATCGATGTCGCGGTCGGATTTTTATTCGATGTGTACGACGCGACGTAGAAGCATATTCAACAAATTCCGATCGGTTGATTAAACTAGCATTTCAGCGTCATTTCATAAATTGCCTGAAAAATGTCGAACTTTGATTTTATTTGATTTTATTCAAACATGAGTTTTGCTCTTAAAAGTTTCTAAAACAATTTATATTATCACATATATATCACATATGATATCTAATTTTTCTGATGTGATATGATTTTTTTCAGAATCGAATGTCGAACTTTGATTTTATTTGATTTTATTCAAACATGACTTTTGCTCTTAAAAGTTTCTAAAACGATTTATATTATCACATATATATCACATATGATATCTAATTTTTCTGATGTGATATGAATTTTCTTCAGAATCGAATGTCGAACTTTGATTTTATTTGATGTTATTCAAACATGACTTTTGCTCTTAAAAGTTTCTAAAACATATTTACATTATCACATATATATCACATATGATATCTAATTTTTCTGATGTGATATGAATTTTTTTCAGAATCGTAATAGTTCACATATCAAATCTATAATATACAATATAATAAAGTTTATACAATATAATAAAATTTTACTTTTTCGTCCCATTATTTTAATTATAATTTCATAAAAAAGTTTTGACAATTTGAAAATATTTAATATACGATCATGTAGATATATTATCTTGTAACTATAATAGCTTCACAACAGAAACGTCAGAATTGTCAAATTTGCTCGGAACTCGGTTTTAATTTTCATTACTGCACTATTTTGTTCATAGAGAAGTCATCTTATATTTCACAATTTAATAACAAAATTTTACAGTAATTTCTCTCAACGAATATTGCTATACTAACACGATTAAAATTTACTGGAACCACTTATAGATAATCATGAGTCGATGGAGTAATCGACTAGTGAATGGAATAGTAGATTGGAAGACACACGTAGCATGAATGCCATGTGATTCATACTTTGACCCGTAAAACGACGAATCTCTCTCACTGTACACTAAGCCAATAAAACAATCTCAATAAAACGACTGTTACAGGCACATACGTTCACAGAAAAACAATAAACTTTTAACAGAATCAGAGCTTATGATAGAAACGCATCAATAAATATCAAATTGTAATCTTAATATTTTCGTGAAGTTATAATCATAAATAAATTTGACAAACTTTTTAACTAAAAATCAAAGTAATCCCATAATTTTAATTCCATGGCAAGTGTATATATTAATTTATTAGATACAAATTAATATTTTAATTAATATATTAAATATACTTTTAATTTAAATTCTTAAAATACAATCGTAATTTATTGTATACATATATAGAAATACAATATATAAGTATTTAGTGTAATAAATAGGTATAATAATTTAATAATGTTAGAAATTTTTGTATTTAAAATAGCAATTTAGAAATATTACAAAAAACCAATAGAAAATTAACTAAAAAATACTGACTCGTTATTTTTTGAATAACTATAACTATAAAGTATTACTTTTTAGAGTCAATAAATAATACCTAATAATTTTTAGAAGAAAAATTTTTAAAAGAAAAAAAATTGTAACTGTAGTTAATTATTTCTATAAAAAGTAAATTCCTTAATCTTAAAAAATTATTTATTAAACGTAAAATTATATTTTTAATGAGCCTATGTGATTTTAATTAACATAATAACTAATTGTTGCTGAATTGTATTAGCAATTTGGAATAATACAACGTTTTATGTTAAATAAATATCTCCTAAAATATATTTACTTTTTACTTATTTTTTATATAAGATATTTCTTTACGAGTTTTCATAACCGATCTCTCAGCGGTACATCTATTAATGAAATTTTATTGAACTTGGTTCTTTCATGCGGCGTCTTAACAAATAACAATGATTTTTATTAGGACATTCAATAATATGATCAATTAATGTAACCAAGGTCGACTCGTAATGTAGCACCTAAAGATGTTCCATACAGATCACAATGGATAACAAAAGTAGAATCATCCCTAAGATGTGTACATCATTTAAAAAAAAACACCGATGATATTAACAGCATTGGAAATGAATAATACGTGATAGCATTAGTCATTTCATTTGTGCAGTACATGTTCTGTTCGATGACAACATATTCAGAGCAGTTCACCACAAACGCATATTTTTAGAAATAACATCATGTTGTTTTATTTTTTCTTGTTAATATTGCTATCCTTTCAAATTTATTTTTATAGCATCTTTAATGCTTCAAAGAAATAATATTTGTAATATAATGATTTTATTATTTTTAATATTTATTTTATAAAAGGCCATATTGCAAAAGTTCCATAGAGATTATTACTATCACAGTTTTTTATAAAAATACAAAAAAATATTTGTATACATAAACTTGCATACAAATTTAACCTCGAAAAGTAAACACAACGTCTCTTTGTTTGATAAAGATACAGCTCTTGATTTATTACGTATGTTTCATACTATTTCATTAATATATATACACGTAGTTTCAATATTTTATCCAAATTATAACAGATATTTGTGATTTTAGATAAGCCCTGATATGAGGTACCCCTTACATATTTTCGATATTTTACTAATGAATCACTTTAAATATTTTTAAATCTATATATATAATTAAATATATAAATATAATTTGACTATCAAATTTTTTAAATTTTTTATTAGAAAATTAGGATTAAGTTCGAAGATCAAATTTTTTCAAATTTGATTAATAATTCTTATTAATTTTTATTTTATTCCGTCATATCTCCCAATCATTTTTAATTATGATTTTGTGATCTGACAATACAAAGATATTTCCAGTAACGCGACAGTCTTTTTTATTATGCTATTTACAAGATTCATATCATATTTACGTACATGACTGTGCAGAGATTAACACATAAACTTGCCGTCATAAATTTGTATATGCAGCTTTCTTTACTATATTCGAATCAGTTTGAAATCATTCGTACAAATCATTTACATTCCCATTCATTTACAAATCCCAGTTGCTCGCGTTTCTATATTTCTTACGGCTTCTGCAACAAACACACTGGCTGATAATACGAACTCATTATCAAGAGAGGAAAAAAGGACTTCCTTCCTCACAGTCGCATTTGTGCAGAAACAGACTGACGGCACGTGCGTCCTTTCATATAGACGAGAGTGTAACGAGGAGAGTCAGATAAAGCCAATCATCCGCAGGACATTGCGGCTAACGTGACGACGTTTCTTTCGGAACTGTTAACCATTATTCCCGCCTTTTGCGCAACATTAGCTTCTATAGTATTTCGTCAGAAATGCACGGTCGTATTATCGTAAGATAAATCGCAATTTAAAAGTAGCTATTGAATATTATTGATACGATATTTTGAAATAAATAACATTTCTCTGTTAAAATTATAAAAAAAGATTATCAATTGTCTGATAAATTTTAGCAATACAGATATAAGAGAAGCAAAGGTCGTATTTAAATTATACAAATTAATAATTTTGATTTTTTTTAGTAACGGCAAGTAATAAACCAATTATCTCGCCCAATCAAGATCAAATCGTAATTAATGAAGGAGAACCTTTAGAAATTACATGCACTGGCTCCACACCAATTCAGTTTATTTATCCCAATGACTTTGGAGAATCGGTATGCACTATAAATTTTATTTATAAATTAATTTCTCCGACATTACCTACTCATTGCTTAATTAATATCGCTATATCTTATCTTATATTAGAAGTTATAAGTCTAATTACATTAGAAGGATTGGAATATTTTTCATCCCTATATAAAAATTGTTTGAATAATCTATTACAAAATTAAATAAAATTTTGATGAATTGTTTATTACGCTTTTGTAGTTATTGTATACATATAAAGTTCTTTCATAATTATTATCTAAATTCATAATTCATAATTATTATCTAAATAGTTTAGTAAGAGAAATTGATATTTTTTCTTTTACAGGTAAACAAATTTTGAAATATATTTTCTAAAAAGCAATATTATTGTACAAATTTTGGAAATTTTAATTTTTAACATATAGGTATATCAAACCTTTTATTATTCTGACAGGTTAATACTTCAACTCCTAAAAAGACCAAAGAAAACGATGAAATTAATAACATTTACAAATATGTCTTTGAAAGGCCAAACACCGTTTTCGGTGATACAGGCTGGTACGGTTGCGCCGATCACAATGTTGAAATTATTACAAATTCCTACGAGAGAGAGGATCCCGAGATGAACTGGTTGTACGTTTATGTAAAATGTAAGATCAAATCGTGTGCATCTCGTTAATATGCGGATCAATGAAGAAACATTTGTGCTTGCATCTTACTTGCCATTGCATCTTATTTGCGTCTCCATATTGCATTCAACATTCATTGTTGCAGCCAATACAAATTTATTTGTTGAAGCGGATACTTATGCCCATTTGAGTGCTGTTGCTGGCGGTAGCATCATAATACCATGCAGACTTACATCGCCAGATTTAATACCAATTTTATCCGATAATAACGTGAGTACATTACAGATAAATTAGCAGAAGATAATTTGCAATAATTTAAAAATAAAATTAAATAAAATTATATTCGGTTCTAAATGATTAACACATAGATTCAAAAATTTAAAAACTTTAAATGTGTTGAAATATATCAATATATTTTATCTTCACGCTTAGAGCCAGGCCACACAAAAAAAGTTTAAGCAATAAAACGTAATAAAGCGATAAGCAAATTAGCTATTCACAGTAGAAACCGTAAGATCATAATGTAGCCAATAGTAATCTAACATTTCATTTCTTTATTGCTTAGATCTTTTTGCTTAAATTTTTTCATGTGTCACGAGTCGACCCTTGTAAAACATGCAGTTACGTCACAATGAAAATTCACTGAGAAGAAAAAAAGGAAATATAGAATTAACATATATTATATCCTTATTCATAGATTTATCTTTTTAGAAGAGTTTTAATTTTTTTTATAATATCATATCAAAAAAATAAATTTAACAATTCTTGTAAAGTTTTACAAATTAAAAAGTATATTATTGCGTTAGTATATTATTGCGCTCTTAAAGTTTTTTTTTTCTAATATACGTTATAAATTGATATTATGATAAAATATCATCAAAAATAGCTAATTTTATTAACTTGTTATTCATTGCAAAATGTTTTTAAAATCTTTCAACTTTAATGCAGGAAGAAGAATTAAAGAATGCATCATTTGATCCCAGAATTGGTTTCACGATTAGGAACCTACTAGTAAAAGATAGCAATTGGTACAAGTGCTCGATAGAGAAGGACGGCGAGGAGCACGCGGTCAATTACGTATTATCCGTACATCGTAAGTGTGGTCTCAATTCGAGATGTTAATTTAGTCACATATATTATGTAATATATGTAAGTATATATAGAGAAGAACCTGGAAACTGCAAATACTTAACGAAAAAGTTAAATAAAGCTGATGATTATTTATCAATCATAGCAGTCTTTAAGGACACTTCAGTTATTGACTTTAAACAATAATAAATAATTACAATAATATTAACAATATTAAATAATTAACATATAGTCATATTAATATAATTTTAAACAAAACTCTTGTATTGTTCGGAATTATCTGTTGCCACGGATAATGTCGAATCTTGAGTCTTGTCTTTTTGTTTAAAATTATAGTTAACACCGATAATATATAAATGACAATTATTTTAGTTTAAAGCTAATATGCTTTGAATATGAACTTCTATATAGTTAATAAATAATCGTTTATTTAACTTTTCTCTTAGGTATTTGCAGTTCATGACATTCGAAAGCATCGCTCCATAATTTTAATCATTCAAATTTCATGCTAAAACAATGTCGATTGTTCCATTTAATAAAAATGATTAAATTATTTGCATAGTAAAACGAACCTTACCTGATCCAAAAATTCAAGATGAGAGTCTTCTGCATGTTACACGTGGACAAGATCTTTACGTAAATTGTACTGTTGAAGTAGAAATATCAATGCGATATGTATTCGATTGGAATACGCCGCAACAGGTAAATCATCTTGTGTAATAAAAAACAGAATTAGAGTAAAATTAAATCTTAATTTTGAATGTAGCAACAAGTGTTGGCACAAGTGCTACATTTTTACATTACCTCAATTGGTAATGTAGAAAAAAAATCTGCACAACTAATATATATATATATTAGGTGTTGGAATTAATTCGTAGCGTTTTACAAGATGGGAAGTACTTTCATTAATGTATTTTTTAATGCTCATGTGAAATAAATAACATTCTTTCATTAAAAACGCTACGAATTAATTCCAACACCTAATAGTAACGAGAAGAATTTCTTCTTTCCACAGATTCTTTTTTATATCTTTTTTAACCAGTCTCACGGACATAATATGTTAATTATTTTTATTATCTTTAAAAAAATAGGAGAAAATTTTTTAACCGAAGTTAATATCACTAATTATTTATTCTTTCATCAAATAAAAATTAGAAGACAAAATTCTAATTTGAAGGCTCTAAGAGAGAAATTTTTCACTCTCCTACCTAAAAATTGAAAATGCATATCTTCTTAACGTACAAGCAATACAGGTTTTCTAGATCTTTTCGATTGGAATATTTATTATTCGCATATACACATGTGACTTTGTTTTTTTATTTGTAGAATAGCGGTAGAATAAGCACTCAGCAATTCAGAAAACAGCTTGACGGGAATTCTGTCTTAGTTACGTGTCAGTTGACGATACTTAACGTAACGGACGAAGACGCGGGAGAATATGAGTGCGTCATTAGGTCGATTCATGACATCAAGAAGATAACGAAGAATATTACGATACACGGTTAGTTTATTATTAATTTATTATCAGATACATATAACTAAAAAACCTATATTTGTGATATATATATATATATATATATATATATATATATATTTACACACACACACACACACACACATATGTATGTATACATGCAATAAATCTTAATTGGCTGATTATATACAAGTATTATAAAACAGGTATATACATATTTTAAAAAATCATGCAATGTGTATTACAATGTATTAATATAAAATTAGTGCAAATTTTGTTTAGGGTAGTTCAACAATGAATCATGTAAATTTCAGAGGCTTACATCCCTTTCAATTATTGAATTGAAGATTTGAGTTTTGGCATACAGTTTGTGAATTTAGTTGGCTACATATTGTAAACAATAACTTTTAAGTTATTTTTCAAATTTAGCCACAATTTCGATTATTTAAAAAATGGGGAAGTGATTCATTGTATACAAGGGGTGTGTACACAATAAACACACATGCTATTTTTAATAATAAACTACATGTTTTATACTGCGAATTATTGAGATTATTTTAGTTTTGCTATATTTTAAAATGTTTATTTATAAAATAGATAAAGATTATAAGATGGAGGATTCACAAGGTCGATCACTGCGTTTTTCTTTTATTTTGAATGTAAACGCGTCAAATGAGTATACTTTTATTGAGATTTTAGGTGGAGAGGAGAGGGGGGGGGGGGTATTCTAAATAATTATTACAATGAATTATTATTTTAAAGATTATCGTAAAAAGGTTATATGGTCTACGATATGGTCTACCATGGTTCATTACGTCAAAATAATTCATTGTAGACCACCTAATCTTTTCCACGATAATCTCCTAAATAATTGGTGTAAAATAATACAATATAACAGAAAAAGTTGCTTACAGAATAATAAAGCCAAATGTGCACCCAAAATTATCACACAATAGAAAAAAATGATAGACATAACAACGAAAACATAAAAAATACGTAAAACTTACTTTGTAACCCAAACTTCTTAAAATATGACACTACACAGTCATCATCTGCCAATCGACTGAAGAACTGAGGAGAGGTTCAAATGCGAGTCGTTGCATGATAGTAGCACAATCTGATAACATTGCATTTATGAAATATCGCAATGGTTCATAATGTATGGTACAATGTATAATGTATGGTACAATGCATTAATTCGCTGCGTCAACTTATAGAACAGCTACTATGTTTATTTTTTTACTCAAATACTATCAACTTTACAGAAAAATTGCAAAAAGACAAAAATCATTTATTTCCTTCTCATAGAATTCTAAGAATTTTTTCAGAATTTTTTATCAACTTTTTAATACTGCATTTTTTTATTTTCGGTAAATCGCTACTATGACCCAGCAAATTAATGCACTGCACTGTACTATTAATTTGTTGGATTACCTATCCTATATTTTTTGTATGTAAAACGAATTGATATGTTTTTATTTCAGACCCTCAAATGAAATATATCCATCTTATCCCTCAACATACCGATAAATATTATCAAGCAGAAAGCGGCAATTATGTTCAGTGGGTCGTATATGTCGATGGATGGCCGAAACCCCATTTAGAGTGGTAAAGTATTATAAGAAAATCTACTTTTTAAAATTAGAAAATTATATTAATGTATTCATGCAAATAAATTAATCAATCACGTGTAATTAAGACGTGTATTTTTTTGTATTATTTGTTACTTGTAATAAATATGTTAAATATTTATTTATTGTAGGTTCAAACCGAATTCTGAGGAAATTATAGAGAGCCCAAAATATTTCGTGAATACAAGTGTAACAGCTACTATTTTGAAAATAATGTCATTGAGTGTCATGGACTCAGGAAATTATACACTTGAAGCAAAAAATGACTACATGATCGAAAAATTGAACTTTACATTAAATGTCATAGGTATCGAAATTATCTTGTAACGTTAATTAAAAAAGATTGTAGTAAATACACTGTAAATATAATAATGTACAACTATTTGTTTATAACTTTAGTCATATTGCATTACTATTAATTTCAGCTAAGCCGGTTTCTATATTGACGCGTATTGACTCTTATTATCCACCAAACGAAAGTACAGAATTTCATTGTGAAGTAATATCAAATCCGTCTCCGAACATAACATGGAGTTTTCTGAGATGTCCTAATTATCCATCACTTGAGAATTCAACAACTATATATCCGACGGTAAATACAACTTTATATTAACTTGATTTTAGATATGTTTCTATCTTTATCTGTATAACAGGAAAATTATATGAATTTTATAGGATATGACGCAAAGCGCAGCTTATAGCTCTAGTTATAGATTCGAATCGATATTAAAAATGCCTATCGAAGAATCCGGAAAAATAACATGTAAAGCTTGCAATGTCCTTGCCTGTGATTCTGTGACTGACAACATTCTTGTTTCAGGTAAGAATATTTTAAGAATATTTAAGGATATTTTTTTGTCTAACTGCTATATAATTTGAAATCATATTTGCAATCATATTAACATTGTTTGATATACTTCGAATATGTATCAATTAATAAGTTAAATTTTGTAAATAAGAGGATTTGTTTATTTTAATTGTAAATTCTAAAAAATAGACAAGATAGATCAATGAATACTCAGTGATTGATTATTAAATATGATTGATTTTTATCTTTAGTTCTTTATTGAATGTAAATATAGAAACCAATCGTAATAAAGTATTAATGACAATTATTGATTTGCATGTAAAAAATAAATATAATAATCTTTCTTTAAATTTCAATTAGATGGATTAGGCGCGTTTGGTATTATTGGACCAAAAGAGCCTGTGACAAAAGGAGATGACATAGAATTGATATGTGCTGCTTCCGTTTACAATTATACAGATGAGTTTACATGGACTATATCAGTAAATGAAACTGAAGAACCACTTATGGAAACAGGTAATTATTTTAAGAGAATTAAATCGAAATAAATTAAAAAATGAAAGTACTTATAAATAATATCGAAGATAATATAAATCTTAGAATCTTTTTTGAAAAAAATAAATTCTGAAAATGTTAATGTTTTTACAAAAAATGATAGGTAAAAATACAATTTATATATTATGCGTATAATAATTTAATATTTGTAATTACACTTAAAATTTATAATATAATTTTTATAACAGTAATCATTAGTTTCTTTACTTTAATTAAGTTAAGTATAATAATATTTTATTAATAACTTAATAATTAATATCTTATTTTTATATTATACATGTACGTATATTATTTTTATATTATATATGATGATATATAAAATATTTTTTATAAATGTTAATAAAAACACACGCACCCGCACACGCACGCACGCACGCACGTGTGCGCGCATACACACTTATAGATGATTTAACGTAAATATTGATTATATCTTTGTTATTTTTAGAAAGATTACAAATTGTGCGACATAAAACTCCATTCACTTATCGATCAACGTTGAAACTCTATCGTGTCCAAGAATCAGATGCTGAAAATTATTTCTGTATTGGAAAAATCATGACTACAGTGTATTACGAGGCCCCAGATATCCTTTCTGATTATGCAAACTATAAATTAATTATTCATGGTACATCAATATAATTATTTAATTTATAGTATTTATACATATATTTAATAATTATTTATACATATATTTGATTTTAATTCACAATTAATATTTTATAAATACATTTTTTCGAAGAAGTTTTATACATATATTTAATATTTATTAAATTCGGAATGTTTTAAAAATTTATATTATATGAAATATATATGAGAATATACAGGATATTCCTCAAATCGATTGTTACTTATATGTGTTTCGATTCTTCTTTACGTATTTCGACGAATCAATTCGACGATTACTATTTCTTATGTGTGTATGTTCCTATGTATGCTCTCTACATTCATGTTTATTTACATTTATCTCTGCTTTAATTATCAATGACAAATTCGTGAATTATCTTGTAAATATTAATTGAATTATCTTGGGTCAATGTTAATTATAATATTATGTTAATTATAATATTATAATGTTAATTATAATATGTTAATTATAATATTACATATATATCAATTAATTTATCTTTTCATATATTATAAAAATATAGAAAAAAAATATGATTCTATTTAAAAAAACATAATTTGATTTTAGTTTGTTAAAAAAATGAACAATTTTGAAATTTTTCCTACACAATTATTTTTTTATTAAAAATCGACAAACTTTTTAGAAAAATTTTATCGTCAATCCATCGAAAGTATCTCATAAATCGTGGCAACTGATATGAGTAATATCTTCGTATACATAAAGCTATTTATTATAAAAATATGTCTATTATTCTAAATCAATATCTGTTTACGTGATAAAATGTTCAAACTGATTTTGTTATACAATCGATGTTATACAGATCCGGTATCACCATATTTTACCAAAACAAATATGAATGAAACTAAAATAAGAACTATCGATGTGATGGCCGAAGGTCACAAGACGGTAATTTTGCAATGTTTTACTGAAGGAATGCCCAAACCAACAGTTACGTGGTATAAGGTACATATGCATTTATAATTATTCTCGTTTAATAAAATAAAATAAAAAGTGCGATGTATACTATATTCTATGTTTAATAATTTTTAGGACAATGTATTGTTAAAAGAAAATGATCAATATTTTTTTAAATATAATTATCAAGAACTTAATATCAAATATTTAAAACATCACGACAGTGGTAAATATTCATGCCGGGCTATTAGCCGACTGGGTACCAATGAGACTTATCAACAGATAACAGTGAAAAATGCAAAATGTAAGCTTTAAACAATATTACAACAACAAATATTGTATTATAAAAAAATAATATTAAGAATAATATATATTAAAAAACTTAAAATTTTTTTAGGGCACAAACTTGACATAATATTAGCTACTTCAATAGCTATTCTGGGTTTTTTCCTAGTGATATTAGCAATCTTTTTCACGATTAAAGTTCGTCGTGAAAAGGTAAATTATACATTTTATAATTTATAATTTATATAGAAACATATAGGGCAACAAAAAAGTTTGTGATAAAGTTTTGTATATTTATAAAATTATTATAGTAATATATTATAATGATTTAATAAACACAAAAAGTAGGCAAACTTTTTTATTATTCTATATGAAATATAATTCCATATAACGTTATAAGAAAATATTTTATGGATAATTAAATTAAAATTGAATTGTTACATAGAAAATGAGGAAAGAATTGATGGAAGCAGGACTTATGCACTTTGAAGAAGGTGCTTTAGAATGTTTAAATCCAGATTTAACAGTTGACGATCAAGCAGAATTACTTCCTTACGATAAAAAGTGGGAGTTTCCAAGGGAACGATTAAAGCTCGGTAAGCGTGATTGTGCTTTGCATAATATAATAAATATCAAGCCAGTTTAATATAATAATCATTTCGATTATTTTTTTAGGAAAACAATTGGGAAGTGGTGAATTCGGCGTTGTAATGAAGGCGGAAGCGCATGGAATATGCGAAAGTGAAACTGTTACTACCGTTGCTGTGAAGATGGTTCGTCGAACTACGAATCCTACTTATGTTCGTGCACTTGCGAGCGAACTTAAAATTATGGTGCATCTTGGAAAGCATCTAAATGTCGTTAATCTTCTTGGTGCTTGCACTAAAAATATATCCAAACGTATGTATTGTTGAAAAACAAAAATTACATTTAGTAATTATGCTTTATTAAAATGTCGCACTTTTAAAAACATATACATATACATATAAGTAAAAATATATCTATTCAATTGTGAGCAAAGACAGAACAGATAAAGTTAAGCATGCTATCAAGCGTTAATAATTAAAATTGTTATATTATACAATAGGCGAATTACTGGTGATCGTCGAATATTGTCGTTTCGGCAATTTGCATAATTACCTTTTACGACATAGAAATGATTTTATTAATCAAATTGATCCTAAGACTGGGAAACTCGATCTTAATATCGGTATGGATATACTGATGAGAACTAGTAGCGTCAGTAGTAATAACAGGTTTGTCTACCGATCATTTTTTAAACAGTCTGTTATTATTATAACTATCATATTTATCTTTTTTTATTAGTAAGTATAACTAACATTTAGGAAATATTTTTTATTGCATTCTAAACTGGCTGCATTTGAAATCTCATGCTTTTATATAAATACAATGTGAATTAATTAAAAAGCAAATATTTGTGCTTTATGTATGATATCTTAGAGAGAGTATCAATTGAATTAAAATTGGATAATTAATGATTTTATATCGTTTAATTTTAATTAAATGTATTTTTATTGAAATAAATTTATATTTATTATAAATTTATATTACTAACGCCAAAGAATCTCGCATTAATAATTTAATCTGCATGAGAAATTCCAGAAATTTCTAAGGAAAGATTTCTAATTCTTGATTAACCATTTGTGCTTTGTAAAATGTATTCTGTTAAATAAAAAAAACACTAAGTAAAATACACACACAATCTGGTGCATGCAATGGGTGCGGTTTAACAAGATTTTCCTTTTCTCTTCTGCCCATATGATAGGATAAAATATGCGGCATTGTCCTTTTCTCGCAGTCTTAGTGCGAATTCAGACACTGGCGATGTGGTGGTGCACTATTGTCCGGGAACGAATCCGGATTCTCCAGAGATTAACTTCTCACCAGATGGCTGTATCAACAGTAATTCATCTCAACCAGGATGGAGATCAAATTACTGCGGTGACTACAAAGACCAACATCTCAAACCAATCTGTACTCAAGATCTATTGTCTTGGGCGTTCCAAGTAGCACGTGGAATGGAATATCTTTGTCAAAGAAACGTAAGTTTTGGCATAGATAAATGCGAAATTGCGAAAGAAGCATAAAATGTTAATGTTTTAATTTTATTAATAAATAAAAATGAAATATAAATGTAGAATAAATAAAAATTGCATAATTTCAAGCAACGTAAAGAATTAACTCTTTAAAATTGGATTTGCAAAATCGTCCCCAAGTCATGGTGAAATTTAATTGTTGAAACTATTTAAATACTCACACTTCATAAATTTTATGCATCAAATGCCTCTTTCAATAATGCTTTCATTAACTAAATAATAACATATATATATTTATCCAGGTCTTGCATGGAGATCTGGCGGCAAGAAATATCTTGCTTGCCGAGGACAACATAGTCAAGATTTGTGATTTTGGTTTAGCAAAGACTATGTACAAAGATGGCAATTATAAGAAAAAAGGTGACGGCCCAGTGCCAATAAAATGGATGGCCATCGAATCGATCAGAGATCGAGTGTTTTCGACGCAATCCGACATATGGAGTTTTGGCATAGTACTATGGGAATTTTTCACCTTGGCTGAGACGCCGTATCCCGGCATGGAAGCAGAAAAGCAATATCAAAAATTGATTGAGGGCTACAGAATGGAACAACCCGATTACGCTATTCGCGAAGTATATGACATAATGTTACAGTGCTGGAAAGCTAAACCAACGCTACGTCCAAGCTTTACGGATCTCGTGGAGAGCATTGGAAATTTATTGGAAGAAAATGTGAGATTGGTGAGTTATTTTTTCATCTTTCTTTCATAAGAATATTAGATCGTAACACAAACCAAAAGAAGTATAATATATGTATAAATAAATAGTTCTTTAAAAAAGGAATACATAATAAACAATATAAAACACAATAAAAATGTTTAGCATTAAGAATAAGGAATTATATATTTAAATTATTGAAATTTAATTATTTAATTAATATAATATTAATATAATTAAGTGATTAATTAATATATTAATAATATAAGTTTCAAAGTAGACGCAATACATAACAAAAATGTTTTTTATCTCTGTTCCAGCATTACATTAGTCTAAATACACCGTACATGGATATGAACACGATGAATCTGGAAAGCGGCAAAAACGACTATTTGACAATGATGTCCGCGCCGGATCACACAGTTCTATCGTCGCCGAGTCACGATTATGTGAACTCGCCATTCTCAAAAGGCGCGCCGGATTCATCGTACTTATGTATGAGCCCCGGTTGTCCGACAGATGAGTCCGGAATATTTAGTCCTAGACCACATCAGGAACACTCGCACTTTGAGTTTCCATCGCCCGCATCGGATTCCGAGGACGCGGTCGAGCTGTCTCCCATGCTGAAGCATACTGAGGAGGATCCCTACCTAAAACCGATCAATGTTCACGAGCGAAGAGCAGAATTCGCACGACAAAGACAAGCGATGAAGGATCAAACAGTCGATAGACCGATCGATCGAGATTCTGGTTATTGCAACGCGCCACGGAATCTTCATTTAATAGATCTGAACGACATGGACGTGAATGATGCACAAATGGATACGACGGACTTGAAAAAAAAAGATTATGCGCCGTCCATCATCTGCATGCAAGATAATTACGTGAACATGCCAAAACAGAAGAATGATTTGAGAAAGGGTATACCGGATAGTTTCAGCAATCCTAGTTACGTGATGATCAGTAATCACGAGGTGGACCAGAAAACTTAGTCCGTTTGGGAATTTTGTAGTTATGTGCCGTTGTGAATACTAAATTATTTACTGAATATTAAGATTCAGTGCAGAATTTAGTAATTTATTCATAATTCTGCACTGCAATGATCTTACGACCTTTTATATTGTTATAAATGAAATTTACCTAATAATACGCGATATAATATCGAATTTAATATTTCTCAGTTAATGTGCCATATGGCGATCATAGCATATCGAGAATGCATTAGTATAAGTAGAAATAAAAAAACCATTTCTTATTGAGTCAAGGCAAAAGAGAGAAGCAGTATATTCATGCATAATACGCAAATATTTTAATTTTATTTATTTTTTATAATAGCAATTTATACCATACAAAATTGTTTACATACTTTCTCAAGTTTATAAAAATCATTTTTATTAATAAGTACGAAAAAGTGCCACTACCTAATTTTAAGAATTAACATTCAAATACTGTGACGCATTCCAATTGGAAAATGCATAGAATTCGAAACATTTATCAAATTCTTTGAGATACTGTTTTCATGTAAATAATAAAAATATTTGACAAATTGTATATTTACACGCTATTGATTTATTTGCTTATACAGAGTATAATGTGAAATAATTGGATTATGCACATTTATTTGTTATCTAAAAAATATGAAATTTAGATACTTAATTAGTGTGATATTATTAGGGTATCATCATTTATAATATTTTTATCATTACAATACTGTCTTTAATGACGTACAAAGTACAATGCTTAGAAGTACATGTATACCTAAGTAAGATGATACATAAAGAAAATAAGAAACAATGCGTTATAGATTTTCTATTTGATCACTAATATGTTTTATTTCCATCACAACTCAAAGTTTGTATGCTTATACATATATAGTTATTCACTTTTATTTTTTATCTCTTTACTTTATCGCAAACACATAATCATGACAAAGAAAATTTTTTCATTAATTTTTTATGAAAAATAAACTGTATAAATTCATAAAAGTGCTAAAATACGCTTTTTCTTATATGTGAATATGCATGCGCGCGCGCGCGCGCGCGCGTGTGTGTGTGTGTGTGTGTGTGTGTGTAACAATATTAAATATGTAAATAAAGATCTCCTCAATTTTTGTACTTAACATTTATAACATTTGCACATTTCTTTATTAGGACATTAGGATTTCTTCATTAGGACTGAATTATATTAAATTAGAAACAAATTTTGTACAAGTGAAATATATGGCATATGAGGTACATAATATATTCTCGTGTTTTATTTTTATAAAATATTATTTTTATAAAATAGTAATTATATCTAAAAACTAAAAAACAATCAAAGCAAATATTATATATAGTGAAAGCAAAAAGTATTCGTACAAAAAAATTTTTTATAAAAAAGTATCTTATTTGTAGAAAACAAACATTAATTAGCAATTTTATACAATTTTATTGAATACATTTTGTTTTTACATTAACAAATGAGCTTCGCATATACATTTTGTTCTTATATTGAGCATTCTTGACTTTAGAAGCTAAATTTCTCAACTATACTAATACTTTTGAGCATGCAAACAATACAATTTTTAACTGTCGCTTATTTTTCAGATATTTTCTATAATTAATACTAACATCTTTTTAGTATATACTATAATTTTAAGAAACATAGTCTATTTTATTCTTTACGAATAAATTGTTAATTACTCAGCAAAAAATAATCGTCAATTAAACATCGAATTGACGTCAATTTGATATTGAAATCATCGTATTTATATCGATTCGACATCAATTCGATCCTCATTTTTTGCTGGATAATATTTACTTTTTAAAAATAAAGTTTTTTTAAAAAATAATTTCTCTATACGAATACTTTTTGCACTCACTGTATTATACATATATAATAATATATATATATATAATATGAACATTTGTATTACCATTTCTTCTTATTTATTAACATGTCGATTGTTATCTTCGATAGACTGACTTCATGCTCGCAATAAAATAAAATTTCTGTTCTACAACTTAAATTAGATAACCGGTTACCTAACTGATAAATATGAACGTTCACAATTATCTGATTTTCTCTCAATTTTTTCCATAAATTTGTTTTCCAGGAATTTATAGTTTCTCACCATTCTAAAACAAAATGAAAAAAGAAACTTTTTATGAATATATTACTTTGTGACACGTTTTTGTTTAGAAGATATATGGATATCATTTTGCCCCACTTTCCTCTAAGCTATTTTTCTATTTAATACTGTACAATAAATCAATGTTACATTAATTATCACACATCGTTCGTCAATTACTAATTAAACTGAAAGAATTACATTGATTCGTCGCAGTAGTAGTGACTAATGGAAATAGTTATCAAAATCCATTACAGATAAAGATTATTAATGTTCTTTCTTTTTTTTTAATGTCATTTAATATGCGTCATTTAATACATGTAATGCGCATGAGATATCATTTTATCCTTGTTATTCGCAGAATGTTAAATAAGGATTACGATACATCATGCACATTATGCGTGCAACGGAAACACAGCCTTAGATTGCATTCTGAACTTTCTATCAAATATCGTAAGGTCAAACAATCAATTAAAAAAATTAACATTTATTTATATTGCTAAACGATTTCTTATCTGCATTTTCCTGTTTTCGTCTTGCACATATACCTGATAAAAAAAAGATGACATTGTATCAGTTATTAGATAAGATTATGCTGTGCATGATACAGTAATCTGCGACCAATACGCAATACTCCGGAAGAAGCGACTATTTGGACAATGACATGTACTTCTATAATGATTAACTATCAAAATGTAGACACAGCAACAAGCCATTTCACAGTTATCTCCGTAATGTGTATAAAATCCATTGCATTGGACTAACTTCTTGTAATATCGTAGAGCACATCAAGCAATCGAGATGCAAGCTATGCATTTATATTCGTATGGCAGTAAAATTTTTTGTGTCGTTATGTGATATCGGTTTTTCATACAAAGTTTTAATAAATTAAAATTAAACGATTTTAATAAACTTCTAAAAACGAACAGAAAAAAAAAACAATCATGTCGAAGATAAAAGTGCTAGACGGTGGTTTTTCTACGCAATTGTCCACTCACCTAGATGAAAAAATTAACGGTGATCCTCTGTGGACTGCACGTTTTCTCATAACGAAACCGAAAGCCGTCTTCGCTACTCACTTGGATTTCTTGCGTGCTGGTGCCGATATTATAGAGACAAATACATATCAAGCAACTACCGACGGTTTTGTAAAGCATCTCGGTATCACCGAGGAAGAAAGTCTCGAGATTATCCGTAAAGCTGTTGATTATGCTAAAGATGCCGTTAACGTTTATAGTAAAGAAATAGAGAACGATAAAAATGTGAGGAATCGAAAGCCATTAATCGCTGGCTCTTGCGGTCCTTACGGCGCTTGCTTGCACGATGGTTCAGAGTATATTGGTTCGTATTGTATCAACGTATCGCGAGAATTTTTGATCAATTGGCATAGACCTCGCATACGCGCATTGCTGGAGAGAGGCGTTGATCTATTGGCGATAGAAACAATACCTTGTGTCCGCGAGGCGGAGGCTATAATCGATCTACTCAAGGAATTTCCAGATACGCAGGCATGGTTGTCATTCTCCTGTAGAAATGATGGAAAAAGCTTGGCAGATGGCAACAACTTTCAAGAGCTTGCTGTGAGATGTTATAAAAATGCATTACCCGGACAAATATTAGCGATCGGTGTTAATTGCATTGCTCCACAATGTGTTACCACTCTGCTGCAAGATATCAATAAAAACAAGTTAAACGATCTCATACCATTGATAGTATACCCTAATAGCGGAGAAAAATATACAGTATCTGAAGGATGGAAGAAAGAAGGAGAAATTGCCTCTTTGCACGAGTTCATTGACGAATGGTTGGATCTTGGCGTTCGCTACATCGGCGGATGTTGTAGAACATATGCTATGGACATCAAACAAATAAGATCTAAAGTGGACCAATGTCGAACATAGATATAATGTAAATTTAATGGCCATTGAGAGGATGACTTCACATAATTTTTATAATAATGAATTTAAATGTCTGCACAAATGCAAAATATATTAATATATTAATACATAAAATGTTTACATAAATAATAAGCGCGTTCAAATTTTATTTCTACAAAATTTCTAAATAAATATTATATATATATTCAATATATTATACTACAATAGTATTATTTAAAATTATATTTATTTAATAGAAACAATAGAGAAGAATAATCATAGTTTTGGATCTATTTCATCAGTAATTCTGATAGAATACGGCACGTCGTGTACCATTATATTACTATGAAAATGACCACGTCGATTAAGGGCATCTTTAACTAAATTCTGCTTGTACGTCATCCATCTAAAATAAAAGTCAGAGAGAATAGTGCAATAATTTCTATAAATCATTAAATCAATAATTAGATAAAAATTTGATAATTAGGAGGAATCTGAAAATATTACTGTAATTATGTTTAATAATTTATCATACTTTCGATTTAGAAGAAATTCATTAAATAGCTGTTTTTTAGTTGGATACTTTAAGTCCAAGAACAGTTTCACACGTCCCCAAATATTGGCACGGTTATGCTCGAATAACCAATATCGTGGGATAAGAAAACATCGTACTGGCGTAAGCGCTACGATTCTTCGATGAAGCATGTTTTCTCCTTAATTAATTAAATATTGATTCATTACATCGTATTAGATAAAAGAAAATATAATTTGTATGTAATAATAATTGTGTGTAATTATAATATATGTTTCTCACCTAAACCAAAACACGCACCCCGTGAAAAAGTGCATATTTGCATGAATATAGTGCGAACATCACTGGGATAATGTAATTCAGATGTAACAGACGGTTCTCGCATTAATATCTCCGCAATATCAGTAATTTCATGCCATCCTTTAACCTTGATTTTATAATATTTATTAACAATGCAAATCAATCAATTTATGATCCTACATTACTGACCAATAAAATCAAATTTATCCAAAGATGTAATCATACCGTTTCAATAAGTTTAACTGATAAACGAACTTCAATAATTTACTCGATCAGATAGCTTTGTATAATTTTACTGATTGAGATAGATTAGTAAGAAAAAGGAAAAGGAGAGCATGCTGTAAATACTCACAACGTCTATAAGTGTGGTAGTGACAATGCTTAATCGATCAACCTCTTGTGTTTTAACAGAGTTCTGCAAAAAAAATGCGATCGGTAAACATACATATTCTATGTTCAATTTTCGATAAAATCAGACAGTACTAAGTAATAAAATATCTTTGCACTAATGATTAAAAGAATTGCTTAAATTATATATAATTAGCAATAATTCAATCCGTATATAAATGGCTTTTATAACAAATAAAATCTTTTATGTAATTTTTTAATAAAATAATACAAACTATATTCACCGTATTAAAATTATATTAACACAATTATTTAAAATTGTTTCTTAATTATTATATTTAAAATTAATATAATATTTAAAATTAAACATGATATATGTACACGAATAGTACATCGAAAAAATACAAGCGCAAAGAAAGAAAAGTGTATAGTTTTACTAAAACTAAAGAAATAATATACAAGAGAATAAAGTTATTTCTTCTTAATTCGTACTGGAATGAATTTATCAAATTGATTTGATTCAAGCTTGTCAGGTTCCGCAATCTTTTTTGGCACTCTTCGTTGTGGACCGTAGGTTTCGTATAGTTCGTATTGCATTCCATGATAAGAAGAACGCTCATGAACAAGCATATGTTCAATAAGGCGACATTTACCTTTCAGAATAAAATGCACATAATTCACCATGCCTTTTCCATCACCTAACAAAATCTTTCAAATTAATTTGTTAATATTTTCTGTATCTTTTGTTCAGATTTGTGTTTATTTCTTAAAATATTCTCGAGAATTACGAATTATCGAAATATTAGAGGAAAAAATGCTATTATGTCCCCTCATTACATTTTATAAAATAACTAAATAATTAATATTTAAATTGAAAACTTAACGATTACACTGGTCAAAGTGTTATTCAATCGATCTTAAACTCAAAATTATAAAATATTTATGACTTAAGATATAATTTTTAAATATACAAAGGTATCGCTTCAATGATCTTGATTTTGATATGCGTTATAGGGTACTGATCGCATATGAACTACTGAACAAATGATGTCGTAAATAATTTTTTTTCTACCTAATAGCGGAAATATTTAAAGGGCCATACAAGAGGCCAACAAGGATCTCGTAATATTACCTTTTCCTCTATCATAAAATAATTATTGCTAAATTATTTACCTCATTAGGTTTGAAGTCTTTTAATTTGCTCAAAATACAACATTCTCGTATCGTCTCTTCATCCCACAACTTAAAATAATTAAAATGAACCAACGCATCTTTCAGAACATCCCACTTTTTTGTCAAACTACTGCGCAAGACGTTATTAAAATCGTCTTCAGTAATTAGAAGCAAATCGACCGACGCTAAATAATATTCATATAAGAAGTAATATAAATTTTGATGAAATCTATTAGCATGTCTATTTTCATAATTCGTTTCTACTAACTTGCAGTAATTATCGTTGATGTTCTCGGTACCGTGTGCAATAATGCAACTTCACCAAACATATCTCCTGGATGTATGCTCCCCATATCTACAACTTTTTCTTCACCTAACAGAAAACATTACATCTAATTCTTTACATTAAGCTACATAATTTTTCTTTCAGAAATAATTCTTTTCCCAAAATATAGACATAACTTATCTTATAAATTAAAGTTTGTCAAAAAAATGATGTAATGTCAAATTACAACAATAAGAAATTCATTCCAATATTATAAATTAAATGGAAAATGTTGATATATCTTATATTTCCATCTCATTGTATTCTTGTATTTCTATTATGTATAAAACAGTAAATATTCAATACAAAAATTCTTTCTAATTTATTTTTTATGTCATTTTTTCGTGTCCAAGATTCTGTGAAAATTTGTAATACTATTTTTTCTTACCTGTTAAATCATCGATCACTACTTTTGACAAATTGATCTCACCATTTATAATAAAATAAAGATTTCTCGCTTTATGACCCTGACGAACGATTACCCGACCAGACGGTAAATATTGATAAAAGCATACAGCTGCCAGATTTTCTCTCAAATCCTCAGAATGCTTTGTGAATGCGTGGAACTTTGTGATAAGATCATATATGTATGCTTTATCGGCGGAAGATCTTTCCGATGCTGTTATTAGAAGTATCGATCGATCCTTGAATCAGCGATACATTTTTTACATGTTAAATTTTGATTCTTTATTTCTATTTATCTACTTTTAGCATACTATATACACATAGAATACCTTTAATGTAAGTAATTTTTTTTCCATTTCACGCTTCTGTTGAGCTGTTCTAATATCAATCGTTACATCATCGCTAATTTCCTCGATCTGTTCCTCTGATATCCATTCCATATATTCCAAAACTCGCCGCACGGCTGATCGAAATAAATAACGACCTCTTAATCTATCGGGCTAAATGAAAATTATTATGTCCTTATTTTGCTTCTGATTCTCTTTGTCTTTAATCAAATTATAATATATAATTATAAATATTTTAAATTTCTAAACAAGAATATACTTTATTAATAAGCAAAGCAAATATTTATAAATATTTTAAATTTATTGTTATAGATATATCCCCATCGATAATTATATGAATGATTCTCTATACAATTAAATGATCTTATGTATATATATATATATATATACATTATAAATGAATTTTTTACATTTTTGTAAGAAATTTAAATTTGTATTATTTCACAATGTGTATATTTAAAGAAAAAAATTGCATATAAGATTCCGTTTCAAAACGCAATGATTATTTTACTTACCCTAATCAGAATTTTCCTCGGTAATTTATACGCAAGTGATTCACGCAAAGAACTAATTTTTCTTGCCTTGTATAAGGACATTGTAATAGAAAAATGTGAAATTTATTGTTCATAAACTTTTAACTAAATTTCTGATTTGTGTAAATATTAACAACACAAAGTACTAACAACTGAGGCAAACTGACGTTAGGTGAAATTGTTTGGTCGATCGCTTGTATCGAAGAAATCGTATAATAGTTATAGCCAATATGGTCACTTTATATAAAAACTTTCCAAATAAGTTCCACAAAGTTCAAAATCAAAACATAAGTCATTTTATAAAAATTTTTTAGACGGTTTTTTTAGATCTGTATTTTCAAAATCAAATCTTACATTTAAGACTGTTTTGAGTACAGTTTTATAATGTTACGAACCAATCAGAGGGTCGTATTGGCATCTTAAACACATATTACTCATGGTGGAAAAAAGTCAAGTGTGCTCATTTTCAAGACGAATTTTGTACGGTTCTGCGCAGATTCCAAATGCGATTATTTAAATTAAAATATTTGCATTGCGGTAAGCTAAAATAACAGTTCGAGAGACTATACTATTTGCCATATAAAAACATGTAAAAATGATCATCAAAAAATAGAATTAAAAAATATACATTTTTATCACTTCTCAAAAGAGAAAACATTAATATTAAAATGGGAAAAAGATTATAAAAAATCAATTTTTATTGTGACATAATGCTTAATTCAAATAAAACCGTGGTAATATGGCGGCATATAATGCCACGTTCTTATTGGCTATTACTGCTGTTAGAAATGTGCGCAAGAGCACACTTGATTTCCCTCCACCATGACATTACTTAAAACTTAAAATAAGGTCTTAAAATAAGAACGGACTACGAATATAGCCTATGAATACCGACCCCTAAAAACAAGAATTGACGGCTGCGTTCAGCAGATTCAACAGTTGACTGAGTATTCATTGTTATTGGTGTATTCTTCTAGATCATCCAATCAAATCTTTAGGTCTAGAAAAATACACCAATAGTAGCGAGCACTTATTCTGATTAAATCCCATTCCGGATTAAACCCTCGATAGAAACTAGACCACTGCTTGAAAGCATTAATCAAAGCATTAATCAATCAAAAGAAAGAAAATCGATATCAGATTTAGTAAACTTTGTTTCGATTGATTAAATTCAATTTCAATATCATAGTCTGATATAGGTTTTAAACAAATTAGAAATTAGCATTACTTGAGGCTGTGTTCTCCGAAATTCACTGCCAGTACTGAAAATGTACACGTAACGTAAACTGTAGATTTCAGCGTTGGTAGCGAATTTTGGAACACAACCTGGTTCACAATCGATACGAGTTCCACCGAAATTTTGTGAGTTTACGAACGTTATGACATTACAAGATTCTTGTTTCTGGGAGTGAATTGTCAACACATTTTTGAATTGTTTTGATATTTTCTTGGTGTGATTTCTATCGTGATAGCAAAGCAGTAAAATGGTAATCGACGTATTTTTTTCAAACAGTATATTGCGTATTGTTCACATATCAATTTTAAGATAATACTATATATATTATATATGAACAGGTTATGTTAACAATGACAGTCGATTTTACTGTTTATTCTATAGATTTCCTTGTAGATTGAATGTCAATTAATAATTATACATATTACTTGAAAAAAAAATAAATCGTGTTTGTGCTTTGTTTTATAAAAATAAATTGTGTGTAGTTTTCAAACTAATTTGTATTTACTATTATTTTATGTAAAACAGTAGAGAAAATTGGACTTCAACACACAAAGTTTTATCTGCATTATAATTATTATAATTTCAGAGTTTCGGTTTGCCATCAATCATACCCAAGCCTGTCGTACCTGAACAATTCGATGTTAAAAGTGAAACTAACTATGACTTACCCAATCCTATGGTATCAGGGTATGACAATTTAAATAAACTTAAAAAAACTAAGTTGCAAGAATTAATTAATATAATTCATTTCATTTGAAAGAATTTGCTTTCACTATTGAAATACAGACTACATTACTTACTGCAAATACTAAAAATCTATAGTTCATGTTACTTATATTGTAGATTTTCAGTACTTGTAATGAATAATGGAATGTATTACAAAATCTTTATATTTTACGAATCTTTAAAAACAGTTTCTTTCAAGAGATAGTTTTTAACATTACTCTTGTTTATTTAGTCTGTCATCAGTCCGACAAAGTGTTGGTTACATACATCCCTTGGAAGCATCAGAACGAAATGTAAGATTTATTGTGTATTCTCTCTCTCTCTCTCTCTCTCTCTCTCTCTCTCTCAACATAGACAATTTTAAAATAGTAAATTGTGACCGTATTTGTTTCAGTATCAAAAAAATCAAGATCGTATGAATATGATATTGCTTAGAAATACACAAGGATTGCATGCTCCACTGCGCATAGCAATGGAATTGAAAGCCACGGAGAACATTGGAAGACTTCCATTTTTATCGTCATCTAATGTGATGCGAGATGTTTTACTTGGAAAAGATCAGAATATAGGGTATTTATAACAAATATATTACTGCACTGACAAATCGGTCTATATTCAACAATTTTTATCCACTTATATATTACTATTTATAGATTCGAAGATGTCTTCAATACATCTGAATTCAGGGAACAAATGGGACAGCCACATGCCATCGTAGAAAATCACCTTGGAATATTGTAATGTTCATCTTGCAAAAATTTTGTCTTAATAAAAAAATAAAAATTTATATAGTCTTAATAACTATTAATAAATTAATTCTATATAATTTTTGTAAGTTATTAGATTTTTTGGCGATATTTTAAAATTACCAAATCTTAATATCTAACAAATTCAATAAATGTGAAAAAATTGCATTCAATATTATATATTCGATAAAGAAAATTTCGGTATATTTAATGAAAAAAATTAATTTCGTAAGAATAAAATAATGGAAAAGTATATATTTTACAAGTATATTTTACTCCTGGCCTCGCCAATCTTCGATTAACAAAAGAAAATATGTGTTTTACCGGTAATTATACAATATATAATTTAATATATGTCAACTTTTGCTGTAACATATAAGTTTTTTATTAAACAAACTTGGTTTATAGAGTATATTATCATTATGGAAATTTCTTGTCTGCTGTTGTAAAATATGCAATTAATTTATCAGTAATTTACTCATAAGGTATAAGGTATTTTCCAGTCACCTGGACCTTCACACGGAGAACAAAGATGTCGACTCGTATAGGTCATGGAAATATTTCGTTCCGAGAATCATGGTAGTAAACATGATGTTATTTTCTATGTTGTAACTTAAGTTGGCTGCAATGAAGAATTAGAAGAATTAATATTTGATTTAATTTGAAATAATCCAAATATTCTTCGTACTTTCGCATCAGGTAAAAGATCTTTTTTTAATAATTTACTATTCTTTATGAGCAAGTCGTAATACTCTGCGACAAAAGGTAATAAAAACAATTCACTCTAATCAAGGTTAGAAAGACTAAGAAATACCGGTGCACTTGATAATGAGTCACTCTTCAATCGGTTGAAATTAATAGGAGAGAATTCAAAGCGTCCTCCATAGAAGTGGGAGAATTCTCTTTTTAAAATCGTGCAAATCCAAGTGATTTTTGACACGTAATATTAAAACACGTTGATATACTTGAATCTGCAATCTACCATCCATATCAACAATGATGGAACACTGTCAAAATGCTCCTAAGATCCTGGATGGCGGTTTTTCCGGGCAATTGTCACGGCATGTGAATACAAAAATCGATGGTGATCCGCTGTGGACGGCGCGGTTTCTTAAAACCAATGTCGATGCCATATATGCCACACACTTGGATTTTCTACGCGCCGGTGCCGACATTATCGAGACTAATACCTATCAAGCGTCTGTACCTGGCATGATGAAGTATTTGAATATAAGTGAACATGAAAGTTTGAACTTGCTCAAAACATCTGTAAACTTAGCTAGGAAAGCTGTAGATGATTACATTCGAGAAGAGAGCATTCCCTTCGAGTCGAGACCTATGGTCGCTGGATCGTGCGGTCCTTATGGCGCTTACCTACACAATGGGTCTGAATATACCGGTTCCTACGGAAAGAATATATCCCGACAAGAACTAATTGATTGGCACAGGCCACGCGTTAAGGCATTATTGAATGCTGATACTGATCTTCTAGCTTTCGAAACTATACCCTGTGTCGAGGAAGCGGAAGCTATTCTAGAATTGCTGAAGGAGTACCCACATGCCCGTGCCTGGCTCTCATTTTCATGTCGAGATGGTCAATTCATGTCGGATGGCAGCGTATTCCAAAATACAGCTGTGCGTTGTTACCGCACTTTGCCATTGCAGATCGTCGCAGTTGGCGTAAATTGCATCGATCCGAAGTACGTAACTCCCTTACTGAAGGGTATCAACGAAAGCGCTTCATCGGAACAGGATTTCATTCCTTTGGTAGTGTATCCCAATAGAGGTGGCAGCTATTCTACAAACGGCGAATGGATCGCGGTCCAAGACGATCATTCTCTGAATCTGCCCATGTCAGAATGGTTGGACCTAGGAATTCGTTACATCGGCGGATGCTGCAAGATCTTCGCAGAGGACATTAAGCTAATTCGATCGGAAGTGAATCGACATAGCAAGAAATTCTGAACAATGTGATGCCAGTGACTTTCAAATATATTTTTTACAGATATTGATACATATACGCGCTGGTTAAAACCAGGGGTTACAAACTCCTATTGTTCTCGCGGCATCTGATTAAAACCTGGATATGCGTTGTCTATTTTATCGAATGTAATAATTTTTATATTAATTTTTCGTACATGTTATCGATATTACATAGTCCGGATTGCACAATTTTATATCGAGATTTTATAACAAGAAAAAATTGGAAAATTATAATTTCGTTATCGACTATTTACATAATATATAAAAGCTATATGTTATTTACAACACTCAGATTCGTCGAAAATGTATGTGCTTTACCAGGTTTCCCATTTTGCTACGTAAAAAAGCTATCATATAATCCGTGGTCTTTTTCTATCATGATATAATCAATTTTAAACAAAATGAAATTGCTTCATACGTATAAAAAATCATTTATATATTTGCATCTTTTATATATTTGATATTTATATCATATCATTTAAGTATTTATTCAATAAAATTTATTCAATAAATTTATTTTTTTTCTGTTAATGTTTTACATAAGTTCTTTACAACGAGATACAATACATTATTTTTCATGCTAAACATCATATATGATATACGATATACGCAATTACATTTTTTCAAATCTGTAAAATTTTTATTGATATTTAATACTTCGATACATCTAATGATATATCTAATGTCTCGAAAATAAATAATGTGTACTCTCGTTTTGTTAGTATAAAAGGAACAAAAGTTTTATATGTAAAGGAATTTCTATTCTGAATTGTAATACTTTATTGTCAGGTACGCTATTGTTTCCGCTATTGTACAATATATGCGTATAAAAAAACTACAGTAAAGCTAAAAACGACTAAAATACATATTTCGTAAAAATGATTTATAATAATTATGACAATAAATCAACAACTGATTTACGTCATACAATTGAACTATGCAGGGTAAGAGAGTGAGAGAAGGAGCGAAAGAGACAAAGAAAGGAGAGAGAAAGAGAAACCTAACATATCGTAGCCTGGCATTTTGCCATTTATCTCGTCATATATTAAAATAATATAAATAAATGTAAACTATTGCTTATTTGCGAAATACATTATTGTCATAAAAAATAATAAAAAGCATTTTGATTTCTATACTATCTATAATTAAATTCATAAATGTTATCACTTCTAGATTTCTTTAGATAAATAATAATAATTTTAATGATATTAGTTTTTTAATCACTATCTGAATCTAAGTAATGAGTACATTGTAAAAGGAGTTAATATTTATAATAATAATATTATTAAACATTTCTATCACGCGAGTCTCTAAGATGAATTCATCCGCATGCTAGCATCTTGTGGAGAGGTAACTAGCATCTCTATAAAATCTAGGACAGATGCTGAAAAAATACACGAGGGATGCTAGGCATTTGCATAAATTAAAGCGTTCTTAGCGTTCTGCGCTGCTCTTCTGACGTAGCCTTTCTTCCGACATGTTAAAATTCGAAATTTTGCGAGTTTCTTTGCCAATTTTTTCTGCCTCCCATACGGTATCCGGAAGTTTCGTTCCTAAAGTTTCCGGGAAAATCAAAGACAAGACGCCTGCGATCATACCCATAGTTCCAAATAGAATAAATGGCAACGAAGGCATTATTTGCATCTGAATGTAAATAAGAAAACGTCATTAATGAAGTGTTTCAGACAATGTAATTTGTACGATGAATTTTTTCTCAACGGTGATTGAAAAGTTCATTTTAAAAAGATTGCAAACATGCTATTTCAAATATTCTTTGCATACTCGAAAAAAATATAAAATATTACTAATGTCATTTATAAAAATCATATTGTTCTCTTATTTCAAAAGTGACAACTAAAAAAATTAAACTTTCTAGAAATTATTTTTTAATAATAGAAAATTATTGACTGCTCAAATCGGTAATATCAACAAAAAGAATGTACTCTTAGAAATATGATCAAGTATTATTTTTGTTTCACAATTCTTAAAAAAATTACGATTTTGAGTTGTCACAATTTTGATATCCTATAAAATTATAACAAATCAGGAATTTCTTTTTTATTGTTAAAACTATCTTAACTCTAAATGTTCTCTCTAGAAGACTTTCCTTTTTATTTACAAAAATGATAACTCAAAATGTTCTTGTAAAAATTATCTCTTTAAAATTATGAGAGTCGATATAAGTGCTATTTAGCGAAGTGACTGATAGAGTAATCTTTATCTAACTTATTATTATGTGGTAATAACTCGAAATCACATTTTTTGTTACTTTTAAAGCAAGGAACCGATATGTACATTTATCAGATTTAGAGAATATAAATACGAGAATGTATCAACGATATTTTTGAATATATAATATTATCTATAAGAACAAAAGTTTCTTGAAAACCTGTTAGATCCCAAATTACAGAAGAATAGATCCGCAAATCTGGAAGATATTTGTGATGGCGCGACATAACGTTATCAAAGCGTAAATTCGAGAAGCACATATTAAGAAAATCTATGTTTATTGCAACGTTTGTTTATATTGACTCACCAAAAGAGGCGTTTGCGGTGCTAAGATTGACCCAATGCGACCGATCATGCTGCAAAATCCGAGCAGAGAATTTCTGAGCGTTGTCGGGAAAAGCTCTGCCGTGAAAATGTAGGTAGTAGAAAACGCCATGGCGATACACAACTTTCCGGCCATGTATAAAAATAAGGGTCCATAATTCCAGGTTTCTGAAACAGAGCAGCAATAAATCATCAGAATACTACGCGCTGTGGCAACCCATTATAAACTAATATAATTACACGAACAACACGATTGTGACTAATTGTAAACTATCCATTTCTCCTTTTGCATGGACCAAATCGATTTTAAAGAATATTTTAAGTGACGGAAGGATAATTTTTCAAACAAAAGGATGCCGATGTATATTCAATCAGGATATTTTTTGTTTATTGACTTGCATTTTATAGAAATAACTTTGTGCGAAAAGAGAAATGGGCCAAATCATTTCTGAAAAGTCACTCCAGGAACGTACCAAACTTCAATCAGCTCTGTCTGAGAAACCTCTTTTCTTTATCTCTTTACCTGCCGGTACGAATTGGCTTGCGACACAGAATAGCCCGCTCAGCATGAATGCACCAGAAAGCGTTGATTTACGGCCAATGTGATTGTTCAGCACGCAGCCGATGCAAAATGCTGGTATCTCGACTATCGCAACGAGTATGAAATTGAAGTACTTATAGCCGCCGAACGCCACTGAGTTTAACGACAGTCCGTAATAAACAAACGTATTTGTAATCCAACAGAACGAGCAGACCAGCAATCGAATAAGTATCACTGAGCTATGTAGAACTTGCACGATTGGTTTTCTCTCGTCCAACACCAGTTCGCTTTTCTGAAAGATTCGCGTATCAATGTCATAATTATAAAGATCATGTGCAACTTACTACTTTATACTAACATAATATTTACAGAGAAATACAAAAGTTGCTGTACTGAAAATTACGAAGTTATAGTTGTATTTTAGATAATAGTAGGTAAATTTGCAAATAAAGCATTTTTATTGCCTTAATTAGATATACGTTTGCGAAAGAAAAAAAAAAGATAGGTGAACGTACCGTTTCAGCTACATTTTGCTCTCTGAATGTATTGATGGCCTCATCCGTTACTTGCAGACCATTCATTCGGGCCATTTTATAATATATTTTATCCACTTGTTCATGTTTTTTCTTTGACATTAACCATCTTGAAAACGATATTATGTATCGTACATATATTTTGCAGATAAGAGAATGAAAATAACATTCTATCGATATGCAAATGTTCATTAAGATTATACAAGATTACCTAACTGATTCTGGAATGACTAAAGGTAGGAAAACAGCTAACAGTGCCGGTCCGTATACCATCCTAAGAAGCA